CGCTCGAATTAAATGATTGACCGTTTTTCGCTCGATGCATGGATGGATGGATGGAGGTTTAGCTCATTTGTCACTCGCTCGAATTAAATGATTGAGTGTTTTTTGCTCGATGGATGGATGGATGCATGGATGCATGGATTGATGGATGGATGTGGTTCCGAAACTCTTGCCACTGTTCGTTGGTCCTATTGTTGCTTGGTGCCTCTGAATGCCATATGCATGTCACACAGTAACTGTTAATAAACGACTGATCACGAGTTCGAAGTTCGAACTTCGAACCTTGATGCTCTCCACGATATTACCAACTGTCCCCTCTTCAAAAAGAAGAAAAGTGGACAGTGGTCCTGTATCCTCAGTTGGCCAGCTCTTACGTTGACAACAACAACAACAACAACAACAACAACAACAACAACAACAACAACAACAACAACAACAACAATGACAACAATGACAATGACAATGACAACAACAACAACAGTGACAATTACAACAACAATGACAATGACAACAACACTAATGTTTGATTGGCTGATGTGGCTGAATGGTATACTACTAAACACATGTTGCTGTCGATAAACGGATCATGAGTTCAGATCGTACTTTTTCATGTTGGTTCATTGGTTGGCCAGCTGGATGGATGAGGTTGCAGCAGGCAGATGGGTGAGCAATTGCTGTTGCGTTGGCTGAACCACTCAGTCTGTTGAAGGATCTATCATTTGATTTATTTTATTTGTGACAACATGCACGTGCATGGGGAGGAAGGATGGGACTAACGGGATGGATTGGATGGGTTTAGCTTGATTTGATTGACTGGCAGATTGGATGGGTTTAGCTTGATTTGATTGACTGGCAGAAGTACCTGGCTCATGTGGCTGAATGGTACACGCATGTTACTGTTGATAAACAGATCATGAGTTCAAAATTTCAAATCCTAATGGATACAGTAATGTTAGGGGCTACTTGAAGAAAACAAAAAACATTGAGTGACTGACTGACTTCTTGATTGATTGATTGCCGATGGATTAGATTGATTTGATTTGATTTGAGTTGAGTTGATTTGATTTGAGTTGAGTTGAGTTGAGTTGATTCAAGGGGTGTGATTGCCGGTATCATTGCCCCTTTGAAAAAGTGAGTGGCTGATTGACTGATTGATTGATCGGTGATCGATTAGATGGATTGATTGATCGATTGATTGGTTGGTTGATTGATTGATTAATTGGTTGATTGATTGATTGATGGATTGATTGATTGATTGATTGGTTGATTGATTGGTTAATTGATTGGTTGATTGATTGGTTGGTTAATTTGTTGGTTGTGATTGGATTGAACTTGCCCTGCAGAAATTGGGTAAGAGGAGATTCAAATGGTGAACAAATTACTGTTCCCGATCCGGAGCCGAGCCTGAGTCCGAGGCTGGACAGGTTGGAAAAGACACTGAATGCCAATCCAGGGCTTCGTTTTGGCAGGGGGGGAGATTTGAGTTCCGGCAAGATCAGACGGCCTGCGGCAGACGGTAGGATAGATTGGGGCCTCCCTCTCGGCAGCGGTTGCCACTACGCGGAGCTGAACGTTGAAGAAGACCGAGATGAAGTTTGCCGGCGGAGCTCGACCACTGAGGATCGCTTTTACGTTGACAACAACAACAAAAACCACAACCACAACCACAATGATGCTGCTACTCCTAAAGATAGCAATTGTAGTTATTATTATCATAATAATAATGATAATGATAATAGTCGTGGCGATCGGGATGACGATGAGGATGATGTCAACAAAAACTGCCATCCCATGCGTGATGGAGGTTGGAAGGTTCGACAGCAGCAGAAGCAGGCACACTCTTCTTCCCCTCCGTCCTTCCCGGTTGATGTGACACGTCATCATTCGTCCAATGGGCAGACGACAGGTGAGATGATGTTGCTGGAAGATGATGTGTCGTCAAGTGGGGGAGAGGACTATGGCGTAGGTGCTGCTGAGGAGGACAAACAGAGTTGGCATGTGCATGCACAGGAGCAAGGGAGAGGGAGGATATGGCTGCAACCGGACTATGTTGCTGCCATCGAAAGCTCGGCGATGGCAACGACAACAAGGAGCGGGGGGGACGAGAATGGACGTCGCCATGGCTGTGGTGATATGACAGATAGAGTGGGGCGGCGTGGAAGAAGGGAGGGGAGAGAGCGAGGTGACCCACTTGGCGGGCTTTGTGAGAATAAAGAGGGGGTTGGTCGGAGTCAAAGTCAAAGGAGACTCAATGCTGTGGAAAGGGCAAGGCAGAGGGAGAGAGAACGGGAGCAGAATGCGGTGAAAATGATGTCCACCCAGTGCACTCCCGACGCTGCTGGCAGAAGAAAGTACCGCACGGTACATAATACGAGCACCCTCATCCTGTCTTGTTGGTCTAAGAAAAAGAAGAAGAAGAAGAGGAGAACGTGAGGAGGACGAGGAGGAGAACGTGAGGAGGACTAGGTGGAGAAAGGAGGAGGTGGAGGAGAAAGAAGAAGAAGAAGAAGAAGAAGAAGAAGAAGAAGAAGAAGAAGAAGAAGAAGAGGAGAACGCGAAGTAGAAAGAAGAAGAAGAAGAAGAAGAA